TGGAGTACACAGAATCAAATTTTTATTAAAACTATCCTTGGCATCATCTATGCTCTCAACTTTGTGATCATTATGCTCTTCTGCTCCAGCTCCTGCTGCTTTATCTGACCTTTCTACCAATTTGTGCTTGGGAAACTTTGACCCTTCGTTGGCCAGATCTATCTGCTCTGAGTAGCGGGCGTACTGATCCTTCACACACAGCCCAATGCTTGTTAGACTTGTCTGTCTATTTGTTCCTTAGAAATGTTGATTGCTGTGGTATTGACGAGCCTTAGAAATAGCAAGAATGGCGAATCTGCTGCAGGGCTCAGGGTCATTCAGTAGCATATGCTGTGCAGAATGATAGAGTATTTTGAACTATCCAGTGTTAGCCAGTTCACAGTGAAATCATGTCAGCTTTATTTGAATACACCACAAACATAGTAATAATGATCATAGCATGATTTGCCATTCACACAAGGTTTAAATTACCCAAATAGGCCTTTCTTTACTGTAGGTGCTCATCAGCCTGCAGGAGAACAAATACATTTCTTGCATCATAAAATAACACTAGTTGCTGTAACTACATAAAAATAATCTTGGTCATTTTATGAACACTTCAAACTACTGTTCGGTCTTCAGGCTCTGTTGCACAGTTGGAGTGCAAAGCTGCTTCAGAACATCCCTCTGCCATGCCAGGAGGGACTGCAGTCACAGCAGGATGTTGGGGGCTTTCTGGGTCATACCACTTGCCAGATGAGGGTTTTCCCACTGCGAAGGTTGACTTGATTACCTTGGCGTCGCGTTCTGCTGCTCACATCTTGTAACTTTATCAACAAACCAGTCCGTGTACATTTTTTTAAAGGTTGCTGGGCACTGGTTTCTAAGAGGTAAGTGCAGGAGGTCTTGACTGCGAAGGGGAAGGGGCAAGAAGCGGAGGGTGTGGGATTTGCAGCTTGTATTTGCAACTGCATTAATGCTTCCTTCTGTGATCAGGTGTCATGCCTCTGAAATGTAGTACTTGTGCAGAGGATGTCAGGCTTTGTTTCGATAGCTTTGCACACTCGAGAACATGGAAACTACACTAGTACTGCTTCAGACTTGTCTAAAACTCGGGAGGTTTCTCCACTGCAAGACAGCGCTCATGGCCTCAGCCCTCTTCCCTCCGTGTCCAAGTGTTTTCCTGCTGTGAACACACCCATGGGATCACTCACTGCTTTGGGCACTCTGAAACCTGCTGTTGCTTGGGTTCAATAGCAGCTACTATTTCCAAGTAACACCTCAGAGATTTAAAAGAAGAAAAAAAAAAGGAGTTTTGGAATTGTTTCAACTAAGCTATAACGCCAGTCTAGTTAATAGGCCTTTCCCTGCCTGTGATTAATCTTGGCAAGTATTAGCCTCTGCTGCTGCAGAACAGGTCGAGCAATCTGGCATGCTGCAGGAGGCAGAACTGGTTCTGCTTCGACATGTACCAGCGAACAAACCCTACCACCAGTGAGTTCTAGAGGAGAGCACTCGCTCACGCAACCAGCTGCTCTGTTGTTTGCTCGCCCAAGACATGGGTGCACTTTGGCCTGGGATGGTGCACTGTCTCCCATTTTCCTTCATTATCATCAGGCCCATGAACTTGGTGAATATGACTTTCATCCTTCCTTCCAGAAGTCTATGCTGTAATTATGATAATTTTTATCCACTTAAGAAAAAAGTGAATTAGAACTTTTTTCTAAATTGAGTGTGTGTGTGTTATGCAGGGAATTAAGCCTTTTAAAAATGGCAAAGTGATATTTAATACACTTTAAATGTATTAGTGGGAGGAAAATACAGGTTATGGCAAACTTTCTTTTTGACTACATTAGGATATTTCAGGCTGTTAGCTATGTTTTCCCAAATGCTTTTCCCCTCAGTGCAAACAGACTCAAAGTGGCACCAGAATAACAGAGTGTGTTATGTTGAGCAAGTTGCTGTGTTTAGAAAGGGCTGAGCGCTCCTGAACCCATCTGTTTAAACTGTGTCAGCTCCCTGGGGTTGGATGCACTTGGGATTTATCTGCAGGGTATAATTAAAGTGGTAGAGCCTCCTAGTGCTTGCAGAGGCTAGAGTAGTGAGAAAATGGGAATGCTGCCTGGTAAAATGTATGGTGCTGTAACGCTCCTTCTTCCAGTGACAGGCACTGTATTCTTTCACAGACTACAGCTGTTGTTAAGAAAAATGTGTTGAAAAGGAAAACCTGAACTTTTATAGGCCTACACTGAAATGTTCTTGTGTAGACGTCTATTTATTCCAGCCTTTTTTTAGGAAGAAGAATCATCCAAGTCACCTGCTATGGGTGTTCCATGATTTGCAGTGGCATTTTGTTGCCACACAGGCTGGGCTGCTCCATCCTGGGGCAGAGCGAGAAAGCCTTTGCCTCTGCCTTTGCCCCTCGGAGGTGTAAGATAGATAGATAGCTATTTTCACAGACTGGTTTGGGTTGGAAGGGACCTTAAAGCTCATCCAGTTCTAACCCCCTGCCACGAGCAGGTACACCTTCCACTAGGCCAGGTTGCTCCAAGCCCCTGTGTCCAACCTGGCCTTGAACACTGCCAGGGATGGGGCAGCCACAGCTTCTCTGGGCAAACTGTGCCAGCGCCTCAGCACCCTCACAGGGAAGAACTTCTTCCTAATAGCTAATCTAAATCTCCCCTTTTTGGCGGGAGGGAGCTTAGAATAATAGACTGGCATCTTCCTTGCAACCAAACTCTCACTGAAGGTAGATTTAATATAATAATTTGTTATAATCTTGAGTTCATGACTTCACATATTAAAGTGATATGCTGCACACAGCCTACACGCTTCCCTAGGCAATCAGAGCAAGTGTGGAGACTGCCAAGCCAGAAATGCCATTGTGCAAACAAATGATTTTTCATAACTCAGTGGTTTTATTTTAGACAAGAAGGAAGTGGAATCGGAGCTGTCAAGAGTAACAGGTGGAGAAGGCAGCCTCCAGAGCATCAGAAAGATTATTACTCACACTCAAAGATATTTAAGAAATCATTTGGAGCCCCTGTTGTGGTTATTAGGGGAAGATCCAACCAGTCAACAAGGCCACGTAGTCCCAGTTCACAGAGCAGACAACTGACAAGCTCCTGCCCTTTGCATCAGAGTGGGTGGACAGTTAACAAATAAGGTGCTTTCAGGTCATCTTTTTCCTCCTAGGTTTTGGTGTTCTGTTCCTCCCCCTTTTTATTGCAGTACAAAGTCTTAAATTTCTTTTGGGTTTTTTTTGGGTGGGTGGGTGGGGGGATTGTTGGTTTTTTTTTTTTGGTGTGGTGTTGTCATTGTTTTTACATCAGGAATTCAGACAAAACTGGAGTAGGATTTTGATTCTTTCCATTAAGCAAAAACCTATGTGGAAGACAGAAATGGAGACTGTTGCACTGATTTCTCAATGACAGCTGCTTGAGGTAGGCATCGCTCCGTTTGAGGAAAAAAAATACAAAAGGGACAGAAAAAATGAGGCCAGCACTAGAAGCAAAAGGTTTTTATTAGCTGCTGATATTTCAACCCTACCTAGTTAAGCTGCAGCTAGAAACAGAAAAATCCCCAAACATATCTTTGTAAAAAGACTACCAAAACAATCCATAAAAGTTTTCCACATGTATGAAAAGTTTAAATTAAAAAAAAAAAAGTCAAGGTTTCATTTTCTAACAGCATCTTCATGGAGATAATATCCAAGTTCTCTTCCTAAGTACAGATACAAGGGAAACAAGCATCCTGCAAAATAATCTCTAGAAAAAGGTAGTGTTGGAGGGAAATCAGGACAGTGTAATAATCCACTAGCCAGACACACAGGTTAAATGTAACACAGCCATACCATCAATGAAATACTTTAAAATGAAAATAAATTAAGATAACATCAAAGTTCCTGCTTTACTTGTATTCTTTAAATCCTCAATATAGAACATACCACTGCGTTATGGATCATGGCAAAGACTCAGCACTAGCATTAATAAAGTTGCTACAGAAAAAATCTTTATGAAAATAAAACAAGACCGAAGACACTCCTTCACACAACTGTATGATGGCTATAGGAATTCCACTGAATCAGTTCTTCCAACTAGGGCCATTTATTTTTAAAACCACTGCAAATGTAAGATCTTGGTTGTAAATCTGAGCAGCTATGAAAGCGGAGATGAATGTCAACGAGCAGTGATCCGCACATTCTGTCTGAATGGATGCTGTCTTACCCCTTTCATTACTTAGCCAAGCCACACATTTTGTTCTTCCCGTACCTGCACCCCAGCAAGAATGCAATTTTGCAGAGCACAGTCTTCTGGTAGCATTTTGACATTTTCTGAAAACCAACTTGTTGTTCTCGTAAGGCCCCAGTCAGTGTGTGAGCAATGTGAACGCAGGCTTAGAATTAGGCTTTATTACTCTGCTGCTTTACCTATTAATACATGATGCTTCAGACCCACTTGCCATTTGGAAGCCAACTGCCTGTATATATCATCATAATATATTGCTATTTTTCTAGAAAACATCAGCATCCCAGCTCACTATTACTACACACCCTTCCCATTAACTGTAAGAGGACAGGAAAGACGTAAGTGGTGCTTTATAGGACTTGCTTTACAGATTTAAAGTTGTCCACCACATACATAGGAAACCAAACACCCTCCACGGCCTTTGCAGTTCAGTAATATGTAATGGGGAAAACAAAGGTCCTAAATACACTTAAGGTATTTAAAAGACATTTTATCCAATTATGAGTTCCGGATACTACAATGAACCATCCTGCTGGATTCCTCCCATTATGCAAACTATAAGAAGGTAAAGTGAACATTTCTGTGAAAATGCTATTTCCCTAAGCTCCTTGCTGACTATGAATTTAGATCTGCATTTATCAGATACATCTTTTAGAGGAGAAAAATACTTCAAATGAATACCCTAAGCAGTTCCTGGTTTAATTGTATCAAATCTTCAGTGTTAAACCTAAAAAGATGATCTCCACCAACTGACGGTTAAAAGAATGGAGTTTTTGCTTGGTTACTGCATGGACGTTGCAGACAAGCTGCACCTCCAGAGTTTAGTTCATTTCATAACGTTGCAACAGTGTCTACTGTCCATTGTTTTCTGGATTTGTTGTGGTGGTTTCAGTGCCAACAGGTTGCACATTGTCTGCAAGGTTGTGTGCGTGCTCGAGGAACAAGTCTTTCAGTACGCTCAGCTCCTTGGTCAGGAGCTTGATTTTTGCCTCTAAACGTTCATTTTCTTCTTTGAGCTGGTTGACCCTTTGCAGCGTGTCTTGTGCTTTCTGCTTGCTTTTTAACCGGCTCTTTTTCACTGCCATGTTGTTTCGCTCTCTGCGCTGACGATACTCATCACTGTTTCTATCCACAAAGGAATTTTTCTTTCCTTGTTTGCTCGGAGGCACAGCTTTGCCTCCACCACCAGGACTAACAGGCACCAGCTGGGGAACCTGCTGCAAACCACTGGTGTGTGCTTGGGTGTGAATCACGCTTACTCCATTCGCATCTGTAGTGGTGTTCTTTTGGGATGTCTTGCTCATTTGGACAGGCTCTTCTTGGACACAGCAGAATTATTAGGAGACTGAAAATGATTATTGTTCTAGAAGGTGTTTCCAACAGGTCTTCACATGGGTTAAGGGCAAGGTGAACCTAGTAGGAACAACAATAACAAAAAAAAGTGCTATTAAAGGTGCTGGCTTCAGCTACAGTCTTACACATCTCCAGCTTTTAGCATAAGGTACTGATGGTACATCTGGCAATAACACGTCACAACTGTGCTGAAAGTGGACAAGCTGCCAACTACGTTTCAGAAGCCTCTCGAATGTATTTGGATTGGAAGGGACTGTTACTGGGTCATCTAGTCAAGCTGTTTGTATTGTTCACTGGCTTTACTCAGTTATTCCAAAGCCATCCCTGATGGATGGGTGTCTAGCCTAGCCTTGAATATCTCCAGTTTCACAACCTCTGTCTTGGCAACAGGTTCCACTGTCTAACTTTTCCTCCAGTTATATAATTTTCTTAATTTTCAGACTGGCGTTTTCCTTCTGCAGTTTAAACCTATTAACAGCCTGACTCTTGACCAACAGGACTACTTGATCCTTGTCCTCTTCAAACCATCCCTCTGGGTGTATGCACAGATTCCTCCCTGGTCTCTTTTCTCTGGAGTGAGGGTGCTCAGACTGTCCACCTTCCCTCAAGCATCTTACAGCACTTGCTTTTTGAAGATGATGTCCACATCGATGACTGTTTTAAGATCTTACCAGGTGGAAAACCACAATCTATGGAAAAAGGTAGTGTGCTGTGAAGGCTGTGACTGAGTGACATTAAAGGATCCCCTTTTCCACAAGCAAGGTAAGACAGGCTAAGCCTGTTAACAGTTCTGTAATGAGCAGGTGGGACAGGAATGCAGGGTGACGGCAGTGTGAGTGAGAATCGCTACGCTGCAAAGACAGGGGACTGTTGCCACCCATAGGAAGACAGCAGCCACAGCTGACTTGTCCACAAAATACATTCTCCAGCTGTAGCTCCTGCACCAGTCATTGTCCACTCTCCTTTCCAGCAGACAAACAGGCCTGACAAGCAGGACACCCTTTTGCCTGACTCACATTCTCCCACTGCTAAGGTCAGCCTGCTTCTGACCCTACTGGTGGCACAAGGAGGACTCCACCACAGCTGCTGCTAGGACATGGCCCTGGCAAGGCTAACAGCTGCTCCCCTTCTCTTCCCATCTCACAGGATGACCTCCTGAATGTCTGGGAGAGAAAAGAGGAAGGGCAACAGGGTTCTTCTAAGTTCCTGAAACATCTACTTATGGCTCCAATGATCAGTCGAACAAGTGTTGATTTCTCATCACATTAAAGGAAAGTAACTGATATAAAACAATCCTACTCCACAATCAGATTCTTCTGCAACGGTGCAGCCCTGTGCTCTGTCACACACATACATGCAGTATCACGTGTTACTAGTGTTCAACATCCTCCTTGCCCATCCTCAAGAGGACCCGCTGGGACAGCAAGCAGTTGAGGTTAGTGGTGAGCAATGTATCAGCAGCATCCAATCCAGGGATTATGGCTTGCATCAGTAACGGCACAAGAGATAGATGACTGCACTTGTTGTGTCTAGGTGATGAATGGAAATGGTGAGGTGTTTGTAAACAAACTGCTGTGTGTCACTGGTCTTTCTAAACTCAAGGGTTCAAGTTCATCAGCTGTTTACTGGTCTTGTTTGTTTCTCTCAGCAGTCCAAGTTGCTGTTTTGCCTTCTGCTAGGATATCATTAAAAAGGTTAAAATTTAGTCTAGATAAATTGCAAATTTTCTTTTGTACTGAGGGAGCCAGAAGAAGAGGCAGCTGCAGTGCAGTTCAGTAAAGTTAACAGAAAAGCCTAACAAGTTTGGCTTGAACGTTATTTAAAACTAACATTCTCTCACTGAGAAGTCTTCTCGCTTAAAACAACTCATGTATGAGCATACCCACACCCCTCCTACCAAGACATCTTTTCATTTTTGGATTTCAGAGCAGAAAGAGACCATCAACTCTTTCTGACATCTGCATAGCTAAATAAATATACATACCTGTCTAACCTTTGTGTTTAGTATTTTCCTGATTTCAACTCTTAAAGCAACTTTGGCAAACTACATTAAGTCTTTAGATTCTG